TGGTCGACCCCGTAGTTGATGCGGGTGTAGCGGACACTTTGGAGGCACGTTTGGCTGACGCGAGGAGATGCCACGCGAATGGCGAGTACGGGACGATCCCCTTAGTGATCGCCGAGTTGGGCATCCGGTCGCAGTGGGCGACGGAACACCCTTCCCGTCCTACTTCTCCTCGACCGGTGTGCAACGAAGGTGGCGTCGACGACGAGGTCGACGGTGGTGCACGAGTCAGCGGCAGCGAAGGCACGAGGCTCAGAGGAGTGATCAAGGTCGACGGTGGTGTAGACGGAATCCAGGCGCGAGTGCAGCGGTCGACGGCGGCTGCAGGCAGCTCGCACGCCGACGTCGATGTTCGACGTCGATCTCCTCTACGAAGTGGTGGCGGGCTCTCGGCGACGACGCATGTGACGGCGGGCGGGATTGCACCGGCGTATGGCTACTTCAAGTTTTCGCCGGATCGAATCACCGTCGCTGGAGTAAGGTCGACGGGACCTCATCACCTGGAGGGAGTCGATCGAACCTTAGCTGGAGGTCGCCGGGCTGAAGGGCTTCGCCGACGGCACCGTGCCAATTCCGCCCGAGGAGGATGTCGGGCTGCGCGGGGAGTTTCGTTCTGCTCACCTGCTCACCTTCATGGTCATCTCGAGGTGCTGCTCGCCGGTGGTGCACCTGGCGCTCAGGAGCTGTCGAGAGCGACTGGATGCTGGTCACTAGGCATGGCGCTTCATCATATCGACGTACTAGGTCAAGGACGACCTGTACATCGAACAGCTAGAGGAGAAGATGACTCACATTCGGATGGGCGAGCAGGAGTCGGCGACGGATTACTGCAACCGTGCTCGTCGGATCCTGGCTGAGATGCGAATGGCGGGCGCCGAATACTCGACGGCGTCCTACATCACCCACATCGTCAAGGGCTTGCCGCGCAGCTACAATCTCATGAAGAGGATGATGATGGTGCCCGGCACGCGTGAGTCCCTCGACGAGGACTCCATCACCAGCTACATTCTCCAGGATGAGGCGATGCAGGAGGCAGAGCAGCCCACGGAGTTCCTTCCACAAGCGAGTTACGCTGCACCGACGAAGCCGAATAAACAGCGGGAGCAGCGCGGGAAGCCAGGCGGAAGTGGTAGCAGAGGTGGGCGGTCGACGAAGGACGTCGACAAGAAGAGGTCGACGCGGGACAAGGGTCGACGAGGTGGTGGTCGACGGCGGGAGTGCTGGGTCTGCGGCGACCCCGACCATCTCTCCTTCGAGTGCCCCGACCGTGATGACAGCGACGAGGACGACAACAAGGAAGGTCGCGGTGGATCGGCCAGTCGTCGCCCCCGTCGAGTTGAGAAGCCGCGCAAGGAGAAGCAAGCGTCGAAGAAAACGTCCTCGACAACTCCAGCGGCAAGAGCCAAGGCGACGGGGAGGCGTCGTGCTCGATGGTCGACGTGGTGGAGCCGACGGTCTCGCTAGCACCGGAGGCTGGCGAGGACTTCCAGGCGGTGGCAGCAGCTGTGCAGGCCAACCCGATGGCGGTGCTGCTCGACAGCGGGTGCTCCCACCACTTGATGGGGACGAAATCGGTCTTCGTTGACATGGGGCCGAGCGATGGGGTGAAGCACGTGCGTGGGTTCAACGGGGCATTGCAGCCTGTCAAGGGTCGCGGAACCGTCGCTCTGCAAGGGGAGGCCGGGAAGCGGGTCCTCATCCCCGACGTACTCTACGTTCCAGGCGTACAGGCAAACCTGTTGTCTACTGGCCAGCTGAAGGAGAGTGGCGTGCTACTGCAGGGCGATGGCGATGAGATGCTGCTCGTCGCCGCGACTGGAGAGGTGCTCGGTCGAGCGCGCTACACCGGACGAGTCCTCTGCACCGACCTTCGCCCCTGCTCGACGCAGTCGCAGTCGACCGAGGTGGTGGCTCTGCGGACGATCGTCTCGGCGACGAAGACGACCCCCGATAGGATGCATGCGCGGCTTGCCCACGTTTGCGTCGACACGATCAAGAGCTCGGCAAAGCATGATGTTGCTACTGGGCTCGACATCACGTTGTCAACCGGAGCAGACCCGCCATGTGTCTCGTGCGTCGGAGGAAAGCTGGCGCGGCACACCTTCCCCGCCAAGGGCTCGGATGCAGCGGAGGCGCTGGCTGTCGTGCACATTGACTTGTGCGGGCCATTTCGGGTGGCTGCCAAGGATGGCAGCTTGTACTTTTTGCTGCTGAAGGATCGCCATACTCGATTTGTATGGGCAATGTCGTTCGCTAAGAAGAGCGACGTGCTGCGGGAGTTCCAGCGGTGGCTGGTGCTGGTGGAACGGCAGACGAAGAAGTCGGTGCTGTCGCTTCGCTCCGATCGAGGCGGGGAGTTCCTTGGGAAGGCGTTCACCGACTTCGTCAACGGGAAGGGCATCGTCCACGACCTGACGTGCCCCTACACTCCGCAGCAGAATGGCATGGCTGAGCGGGAGATGCGCACGGCCGTCGAGTCCGTGCGGACGATGTTGCTGCACATGGGCGTGCAGCACCATTGGTGGCACCTGGCTCTACGACAAGCTGTCTGGGTGCGCAACTGCTTGGAGCGGTCGACGATGCCGCTGGGGACGACTCCGTACCAGCTGCTGACCGGGCAGAAGCCCGACCTTACGCTGGCGCGGGTGTGGGGCTGCATGGTGCAGTTCATGGTTCCCGAGCAGCAGCGTGGTGAGAAGCTGGCGCCGAAGGCTCGCTGGGGACTTCACCTGGGTGTGTCGCCAGCGAGCAAGGGCTGGGAAGTGCTCGACCTGACCGACAACAAGGTGGTCACGTCGGTCGAGGTGATCTTCTACGAGACGCTGTCGCTGGAGGTGTGGAAGGCGAAGTATGGGCCGGCGTCGCAGCGGACGCAGGCGCACCCGCCAACAGATACCTCGACAACGACGGTTCCGTTGCTCGTCGAAGTCGACGGACCCGGTGATGAGGATGTTGTGGAGGTTGTTTCCCCTTCCCCTGTCTTTGCTCCTCCGTTCCCCGTCGTAGATCGGCGTGGGTCGGCACCTGTGTCGCCCACCGTCGATGAGGGGAGCTTTGAGGCGTCGCTTGTGGCGCCGGCCCATGGCATCGCCGACGGTCGACAGGGTGCCAAGCTCGTCGACCAAGATGCCAAGCCGACGACGACAGGGGAGCACCAGACAGGGGAGCCAGTCGAACAGGAGGCAGCGGCAGGGGTACACTCGACAGGGGAGCAGCAGTCGGAGCGGCCGACAGGAGAGTTGTCGAAGGCAGCAGCAGACGAACAGCCGGTCGAAGGGTCGAAGCAGCTGGTCGATGACATTCTCGTCGACAAGAAAGGGGAGTCGGCGGGTGAGGAGTCTACCGACAGCAACGTGATGGAAGTGCCGATCACGAAGCCTGAGCTGCGACGCACAGGTCGAGCCCGACGGCCGCCGGAGCGGTTGAGCTTCCACGCCTGCCTACCGCCAGCTGTCTTCACCATGGTGTACGACGAGGTCGACGACGACCTGCTGTACGACGATGCCGAGGAGGATGAAGACCTGCCGGAGCTCGACCCTGACGTGCATGTCGACCCCGAACACCGCTGGGACATCGCCACGATGACGGTGAAGGAGGCGCTGTCGAGCTGGAAGGGCGAGGCGGTGAAGGCCGCCATGGAAGAAGAAATCCGTAGCCTCATCGCTATGGGGACTTGGGAGCTGGTCGAACGCCCACGTGGGGTGAACATTATGAAGAACCGATGGGTGCTGACGACCAAGTACCGCATCGACGACACCGTTCGACGGGGAGGTCTATGGAGCATCCCGTCAAACTGCAGCTCGACCGGGAGGTCAACGGAGCATCCCGTCGAACTGCAGTTCGACCGGGAGGTCGACGGAGCAGTTCTGGTCGATGGAAGGGGTCCGTCGACCAAGGGGTAGCTTGACGGGAGGTGTGGTCGACCAGGAGCATCCGGTGGTCGACCAGAGGGACCCAGTGGTCGACGGGAGGCACCTGGGAGTCGACCAGAGCACCAGGGGTCGACCAGGTCGACCGGGTAACCTGCTCGACGAGTTCTGCGGAGGCACGCGAACGTCGTCGAGATCGCGATGGCGCAGGCGACTTCGGGCTGGTATCCCGAAGTCGATGTGGCTCGTCAAGCGCAGACAACAGCCGACGGATGCCCAACGAGGCAAGTTGGGCCAATCGTCTGCGCACACCTGCGAGCGCGCGCACTGCTGTGTTCTACGGGGCACGCCGTCGACCTGCTTTGTTGGCAGATCGCCCTTCCGCAATGCTGGCGCGGCTCCTCTACGCAATGCCGGCAGGCGGTCGACCGAGCTGCGTTGGCGGTCGACCAGGCTAGCTGCAGGGTTGCTAGGTGCCTGATGTAGTCATTGTTGTCATTGCTTCTTGTATGATTCTGGAATTCTTAACTTTGCTAGTGGAAACTCTTGCCAATTTCTCCCGTGAATGTGCAAGCACTAAGGAACCGAGCAAAGCTACGATCACCTCTAGTAGTTCGTGCCAACCCTGTAGTCTAGCTCACTGCCGTTGTAGAGTATATCTCCGTAGAAATGTCTCTCACGATGACTGTGAAGTAGTCTATCCGTGAGACAATAAGGTGTTCGAACCCTGAATGTCTCTAAAATTGCGCAAGTTAGTGTCAATTAGTATAGTTGAATCTGGGCCTTAGGTAGGAATTAGTCGTAGTCTGTGGGCTGAACTCCACAAGTTGTGAATGGCACGCTCTTCACGTGCCACGCTACTGTGCCACTCCAACCCCTTCCCCTCAAAACACCCTCGACACATTTTCCTAAGAATCCATCCAAACCACTCAACTCCTCCAAAGCCCATTCCAACCACCCAAGCTACAAACTTCCTTTTCCAACTCACCCTCTCCAACTCAAGCAGCAGTACACATTTGGCAGGGCCAGTGCCAAATGGTACACAGTGGTTACCGAATTACAAGCCCACCCTCTCTCTCGAGAAACAACGAGCAGCCTCCAACTCCCCCCAGCTCTTTCGAATGCCAAAAGTTTATGACTGTCAAAAGTATACTGATTCATTTCCCCCCCGCAGCAGCTCACTCTAGTAGCGTTCCTAGCGTACACTACTAGAATGATTTCCTACACCATTGAAGTGCGTCTCTTAGGCTTAGGTCATGCACCGGAGATTGCGCCGGAGATTTCGTCGCCGAATAAGCATTCATTCGTTTTGTCGCCGCGGCGTCGCCTCGCGGCTTCGCCGCACTTTCAGTAGATATCTCGTTGCCTCCCCACGCAGCCAGGGGGGGCAACCGCATTGCATAATCCGCTCGCCGCAAATCGCCTTCGCATCGAGCCAACTGTACGGTCTCGTCCTACCGCAACTTGCTGCCTCGTAGGCTCGCCTCAAATCCCGTCGCGGTGTCGCCTCACCGTAAATCCGCTCGCGGCGTCGCCTCGCCGCCCCACGCTGCCTCCTCACGCCACCGCGATCACGCTGGCTGCGCGACACACTGCGGGCCCTCGTGCTCCTCCCAATATCCCCTTTCCGCTGCCCGCTTCCTTTCCCGCCGCCCGATTCCCTTTTCGCGCCCGGAATCCCCTTTCCCGCCGCCCTACCGCCCTTTCCCGCCGTTCGATTCCCCTTTCACGCCGCCCGATTCCCGTTCACGCCGCCCGCTTCCTCTTTCCCGCCAGTCAAAGCGCCTTCCCGCCGCCCGACTCCCATTTCCCGCCGCCCGAATCCCCTTCCCGCCTCCCTATTCCTCTTTCCGTCGCCCGAATCCCCTTCCCTCCCTTCCCTCCCTCCTCTCCCTTCCCTCCCTTCACTCGTGCCTCCCTTCCCTCCTGTCTCTCCCTTCCCTCCGTTTCCTCCTTTCCCACCAACCCCTCCCTTCTCCCCCGTCTCTCCCTTCCCTCCCTTCCCTCTCTTTAGGCCCGTCTCTCCCTTCTCAGAGTTCCCTCCCTTCCCTTCCTTCTCTCCCGTCCCCCACTTCCGTCCTTCCCTCCATTCCCTCCCTTCCCTCCCTTCTCTCCCTTCCCTCCCTTCCCTCCCTTCCCTCCTTCCCTCCCTTCCCTCCCTTCCCTCCCTTCTCTCCCGTCCCCCACTACCCTCCTTCCCTCCATTCCCTCCCTTCCCTCCCTTCTCTCCCTACTCTCCCTTCCCTCCGCACCTACCTTCTCCCCCTTTTCTCCCTTCCCTCTCATCCCGCCTTGCAATCTCCTGTCTCTCCCTCCTCTCCCGTCCCACCCTTCCCTCCCCTCCCTTCCCTCCCTTCCCTCCCTTCCCTCCCTTCACTCCCTTCCCTCCCTTCTCTCCATTTTCTCCCTTCTCTACCATCCCTCCCTTCCCTCCCTTCTCTCCCTTCCCTCCCTTCTCTCCCTTCCCTCCCTTCTCTCCCTTCCCTCCCTTCTCTCCCTTCCTTCCCTTCTCTCCCTTCCCTCCCTTCTCTATCTTTCCTCCCTTCTCTCCCTTCCCTCCCCCTCCAGTCCCTCCCTTCTCTCCCGACTCTCCCTTCTCTAAGTTCCCTCCCTTCCTTCCATTCCTTCTCTCCCTGGTTTCCCGTCTCCTCCTTTCCCTCCCTTCTCTACCGTGCCTCGCTTCCCTCCTTCCCTCCATTCCCTCCCTTCCCTCCCTTCTCTCCCTTCCCTCCCTTCTCTCCCTTCCCTCCCCCCCCTACCTTCTCTCCCTTTTCCCCCTTCCCTCTCATCCCTCCTTGCAATCTCCTGTCTATCCCGTCCCTACCTTCTCTCCTCGTCCCGCCTCCTATTCTCCCATCCCGCCTTCCCTTCTCCTCGTCCCGCCTCTTATTCTCCCATCCCGCCTTCCCTTCTCCTCGTCCCACCTCCCAATCTCCCCATCCCGCCTCCCAATCTCCAAGTCCCACCCTCCCTTCTCCTCGTTCCGCCTTCCCCATTTCCCCTTCACGCCTCCCATCACCTGTCCCTGCCTGCCCATCTCCCATTCACGCCTCCCATCACCTTTCCCTGCCTGCCCATCTCCCATTCACGCCTCCCATCACCTTTCCCTGCCTGCCCATCTCCCCTTCACGCCTCCCATCACCTTTCCCTGCCTGCCCATCTCCCCTTCACGCCTCCCATCACCTTTCCCTGCCTGCCCATCTCCCATTCACGCCTCCCATCACCTTTCCCTGCCTGCCCATCTCCCATTCACGCCTCCCATCTCCTTTCCCTGCCTTCCCGTCTCCCATTCACGCCTCCCATCACCTTTCCCTGCCTTCCCGTCTCCCATTCACGCCTCCCATAACCTTTCCCTGCCTGCCCATCTCCCCTTCACGCCTCCCATCACCTTTCCCTGCCTGCCCATCTCCCATTCACGCCTCCCATCACCTTTCCCTGCCTTCCCGTCTCCCATTCACGCCTCCCATCTCCTTTCCCTGCCTTCCCGTCTCCCATTCACGCCTCCCATCACCTTTCCCTGCCTTCCCGTCTCCCATTCACGCCTCCCATAACCTTTCCCTGCCTGCCCATCTCCCCTTCACGCCTCCCATCACCTTTCCCTGCCTGCCCATCTCCCCTTCACGCCTCCCATCACCTTTCCCTGCCTGCCCATCTCCCATTCACGCCTCCCATCACCTTTCCCTGCCTGCCCATCTCCCATTCACGCCTCCCATCTCCTTTCCCTGCCTTCCCGTCTCCCATTCACGCCTCCCATCACCTTTCCCTGCCTTCCCGTCTCCCATTCACGCCTCCCATAACCTTTCCCTGCCTGCCCATCTCCCCTTCACGCCTCCCATCACCTTTCCCTGCCTGCCCATCTCCCATTCACGCCTCCCATCACCTTTCCCTGCCTTCCCGTCTCCCATTCACGCCTCCCATCACCTTTCCCTGCCTTTCCGTCTCCCATTCACGCCTCCCATCACCTTTCCCTGCCTTCCCGTCTCCCATTCACGCCTCCCATCACCTTTCCCTGCCTTCCCGTCTCACGCCTCCTATAGCCTCTATTCTTATTCAGCCTCATCTCATGTCACCATGCTCGCATTTACCCTCCCTATCCTGCCTCTCCCTAAGCTCCCCTCCATCCGCCTTCCAACCCACTGCCACCCCTCCGTCCCATTTTGCCTCCTTCCATCCCCCCACCTCACCCACATACTCCCATCTCATCTCCCCTCCCCCTACCAGGGGCATTCTTCTCCCTTCCCTCCCCTACCCCTTATTTCACCCTCCCCTACCAAGGGCTCTCTGCTCACAACCTGCCCCTCCAGGTCTCCCACACTCATATTCTCCCATGTTTGGTCCCCCACACTCCCGTGTGTTATAGTCAAGAGTCCACTTAGAGGTCGCGGATGCCCATGAAACCGCCTAAGCAGAATCTGACATCTTCAAACCGCCTCTGTTCAAAACGTCGTCACGATCAGCTCCGATAACACATGAGCCTGAAACTTGGACAGCAATTAGCCTTAAGTGTCTGCTTTCCAACGGTGTATTGCTTGCTTTCACCAGAGGTGTATACGCTACGCTGTGAACAAAAATGTAAGCTCGACTGAAAAACGTGCATTCTCATTGATGCAAGGAAGAGGTGAGGTACAACATTGCCTAGGGGACTCTTAAGGGGTTGGGATCATCCTGGGAACTCAGACAAGTTTGAGTCCTAGGGGAGAAAAGCTAGAGAAGGATGGGAAACGTCCTAGCTAGGTCAGCAAAGCCAACCACACATGGATGTTCAGAGCTGTACTCAAGGCAACCAATTGTGAGTTAAGCCAACCATGAGTCAGCTTGTCTTCCCACTTGCACCCTCTTGCAAGCTGGTTCCAGGAAGACCACACTTCTCAAAAGGAGAGCTGTAGAGTCCCACTTGACCACCTGTACTTCTTGTCTCATTCTCTGTCCTTGCACCATTGGCATGACAACAATGAAAGGGTGGCAAGGGAAATGCTGCCAACAATGCACCATGACTACGGAACAGTGAATTTCGGCAGCTGTCATGCAATGCTCAGATGTTGGATCGTTCAGAAACTTGGTGACCACTTGCACAGAAATACAAAAGACTGCCAGACCGAATTTCAGACCAATCAGAGCTCGGTAGACGAGTCAGCAGCCGAAATGGTGAAATCGGGTGTTACCAAAAAGGAGTAACACACACTTCCGGGATGCCATAAGACTTGAAACATAAAATGTTGTCATGCCTTGGTAACTGCTTCAAAACCTCTGAAACTTTGAGGGTTTGAAGAACACATGTTGAACAACCTTCCCACAAAATTCCATAAGCTGAGCAGGCTTGTAGGCCAAATGGGAGTGCGATGACCGTGCCACTGTAATGTGTTGGCACAACACCGTGTTCTTTTCTTACTTGAATCTAAGCTACATTCATGCGTTTACTCCTGATACCACCCACTCTTGTTCCCATGGCGATACTCTCTCAATTCGTGCTTCTCTTGTAGGTGAGGTGCCTCCCCCTCGGCACATCCTACCACGTGCGTCACTCCCCGCACATCAAAGCCACCTCTCTCCACTACATCCCACACTAGTTTCATGCTCATCTCATACAACCCTCACATTGCATTCCCTTGCTCTACCTCTGTACTTGTGTTGCAGGTGGGGTGCCTTCCTGACTGCGCTTCCTACGATTTCAATGGGAAAGGCAGGGGAGCGTGGCATCGGCCACGAGCAAAGCAGCTTCAAGCCTCTGGGTAGCTCAGCCTGTCTTTTCATGATCCAAGCATCCAACCTTCCTTGAACATTAGCACATAGACACCCTTGTCAAATATTATAGCCTGTAGTGGGTTGGGCTATATGGGGTACAACTAGTTAGGGTTAGGTTATGTACCCCAATTCTGCCAATACAACGCATTCCGCTGTAGTTCTCATTCTGACATGGTATCACCAGTAGGTTAGCGCTCCTAGTCCTAGGCCCGCCCTTCCCGACCACTAGGGTTACCACTGCGCCCTGCCAGCCCGCCAGCGCCCTACCCCACGCCCCAGCCGGCGCGCCCCTCCCCTCCCCGCCCTTAGCCAGCGCGCCCGCCAGCCAGCCAGCGCGCCAGCCAGCCAGCGCGCCAGCAGCCTGCGCGCCAGCCAGCCAGCCAGCGCGCCAGCCAGCCAGCGCGCCAGCCCGCCAGCGCGCCAGCCAGCCAGCCAGCAAGCCAGCCAGCCAGCGCACCAGCCCGCCAGCGCGCCAGCCAGCCAGCGCGCCAGCGCGCCAGCCAGCCAGCACGCCAGCGCGCCAGCCAGCCTACGCGCCAGCCCGCTTGCACGCCAGCCCGCCAGCGCGCCCACCAGCGGGCGCACCAGCGAGCCCGCCGGCTCGCCTGCTAGCGCGCCCGCCAGCGAGCTCGCCAGCGCGCCCGCAAGCACGCACGCCAGCGCGCCCGCTAGCGCGCCCGCCAGCGCGCCACGCCAGCGCGCCGCGCCCGCCAGCGCGCGCCCTGCTTAGCCGCCCGCCAGCGCGCCGCGCCCGCGCGCCACGCCAGCCAGCGCGCCGCGCCGGAGCGCGCCCCGCCAGCGCGCGCCCCGCCGCCCCGCGCCCAGCCAGTGCGCGCCCCGCCTGCGCGCACCCGCCTCGCACTCACCTCCCTTTCCTCCTCCTCTCGCGGCTGGCGGCCGCTATCAATTGTCCTCGCCCCTCATGGCGACGTCTCGCGTGCTCGGTTTCGACCCTGAGGGGCGTGCGATCGACTTTAGTACCTGGCTGACGCAGGCCCAGCGCCACCTTAGGAGCCAGCGCCAGGATGGCGTGCACCTGTTTGCGCATGCGTCCGGTGCTCTACCCGCCCCGCCGCAGCCTTCACCGCTGCCCACTTCCCCACCGCCTACTTCCGAGCAGGAGGTTGAGTACCAGCGCCGGTTCCTCGCTCGTGACGTGTGGGAGTCTCGTGACGCTGCTGCCTGCCTCGCCCTGACCGACCTTCTCCCGCCGACTGAGGCTGTCCACTTCACTCAGGTCGAGTCTGCTGCAGACCTTTACACTGCTATTGTTGCTCGCTACTCCACTCCCTCCTCTGCCTCCCTCAGCCGCCTCCTCGTCCCCTTTATCTACCCTGACCTCGCCTCCTTTGAGACTGTCGCTGACCTCGCTACCCACCTGCGCTCCCTTGAAGCTCGCTTCAAGGCCGCTTGCATTGAGGAACAGCTTGCCCTTGCACCCCCCCCCCATGTGGCTCACTATTCACTGGTTAGTCACTCGCCTCCCTGACCGTCTAGCCACAGCCCGCGACGCACTTCTCCTGAAGCACCCCACTGAGCTTACTATCGATCTTCTTGAGACCGCTCTCTCGAAGATCGAGAGTAACCTCCTCGCTGTTGCCTCCGCCTCTTCCGCGCCTCCTCCTCGTCTCTTTGAGGGGTGTGCGGTACCACAGCTTCCCACCTTCACTGCCTCGCTTGCCACTGCCGCGTCTTCTGCCTCTGAGGAGACAGCGGCCGTTTCTGTCTCTGGCGGACAGAAACGTGGCAAGTTCGGCAAGAAGGGAGGGAAGGGCGGTGGGGGTTATGGGGGTGTTGCGGGTGGCGGCGGTGGCGGCAGTACTAGTGGTGGGGGTGGCGGCGGGGGTGACTCGGGACTTGACGGCTCTCCTCTAGACGGTGGTGAGGGGTATTTGCAGCAGCAGCAGTAGACTCCTCCGCAGCTGCCACCGCCTGGACAGCAGCAGCGGCAGGGACAGCAGCAGCAGCGCCAGGGCCAACAGCAGCGTCCGCCTCAGCGGCAGCCCCAAAAGTGGGGCACTCTGCAGCAGTGGGGCACTCAGCAGCAATGGGGCCCTTCGCGGCAGTGGGCCCCCCCGCAGCAGTGGAGACCTACGGGCCCCCCGAGCACTGGGCGCAGTGGTGCCCCTTCTAGTCGGGGACCCCGCTCGGCCGGCCGCGACGTTGGTCCCTATGAGTACTGGATCCTGACGGGTCCGCGCAGGGGCACGTACTGCGGCCGCCCTGACCACTCTGCTGCACGCTGCTTCAGCCGTCTTGACGACCTGTACGTCCTGCACCACGGTCCCTCCGCTCCCCCGCCACCGCGCTGGGGACCACTCCTTGCTCGTGGTGTTGCTGTGTTTGATATGTCTATGGATGATGCTAGGTCTTATGCCATGTATGCTGATGTTGACTATAGTGCTGTCGGATCTGTTTACTTGCCTGTACCTAGCGTAGGATCTTTGCCTGTTGCTAGAGTAGGTGCTGGTGTAGGATCCTGTCTAGCTACTAGTACAGGTGCTCCCTCGGCGGACGCGTCGCGCTCCTTCACACTGGAATCCGGAGCGACGCAATGCTTCTTCCGCGACAGCACGACTCTTACTCCACTCTCGGCGCCGGTTTCTGTAGCACTGGCCGATCCCTCTTCGGGACCGGTCATTGCGACTCACGCCACTACCCTCCCGTGCCCAGCTGCCCCTTCCGGTTCTCTGACCGGCCTCCACGTTCCTACTTTCTCTAGGAACCTGGTTGGTGTGGCTCCTCTGGCGAGACAGCACGTCGGGGTCTGGTTTGAGCCTTCGGGTGACACTGCAGTCTGTGTGGACGGTGACACGTACGCCCCTCTGGCCACTTTTCGTCAGGAGCCGGGCTCTGGTCTGTACACCCTCCACACCGACACCCGTCCGGTTCCCCCGTCCCACCAGGTAGCCAGGTCCAGTCAGGTAGCTGTGCCAGGTCTAGTGGCTGCGTCGTGCTCGTGTCGGTCGCTGTCCCACCCTGCCCTCCTCTGGCTCCACCGCCTTGGTCACCCGTCCCTCTCTCGTCTCCGCGCTATGTCCAGTTAGCGTCTTGTCTTAGGCCTCCCCCGCGACCTCCCGCCGCTCCCGCCGTCCCCCGCTCCTCCGTGCGGTCCTTGTGTCCAGGGTCGGCTGCGCGCCACTCCTCACTCCTCCTCCCTTCGACCAGCCTCCGAGCCCTTTGAGACACTCCACTTAGACGTCTGGGGCCCCGCTCCCCGGCTTGGACCTAAGCGAGAGAGCTTCTTCCTAGTGATCGTTGACGACTACTCTCGGTACACCCCTGTGTTCCCTTTGGCGAAGAAGTCCGACATGACTTCTACGCTGATCCGGTGGCTGCTCGCCACCAAGAGTACTCGTCGTCGTCGTGTCAGTTGTCTCCACTCCGACCGTGGGTTTGAGTTTCGCTCCGGCATTCTCGCCAGATTCTGTGCTGAGCAGGGCATCACCCAGTCCTGGACTCTTCCAGACTCTCCACAGCAGAATGGGGTTGCTGAGCGCCGGCTAGGCCTGGTCATGGAGATTGCCCGCACCTCCATGATCCACGCCCGCGCGCCCCATTTTCTGTGGCTCTACGCGGCTCGGTACGCCGCTCACCAGCTGAACCTCCGGCCTCGCGCCTCTCGGCCAGGGGCTTCACCGACCAGTCTTTGGACAGGGTCCCCTGGTGTTGCGTCGAGGTTTAGTGTCTGGGGCTTCTTGGCGCTTGTCCGCGACACCTCTGCGGACAAGCTCTCACCTCGCGGCGTCCCCTGTGTCTTCCTTGGTTTCCCTGAGGCCTCCTCTGACTTCACCTTTTACCACCCTCCCTCCCACCGGTTCTTTGACTCTCGTGACGTCAGTTTCGACGAGTCCGTCCCCTACTACGTCCGGTACCCCTGTCGAGGTCTCCCGGTTCCCCCCCCTCCCCTCTTCCTCGCCCCAGCTCCTCCTCCTCCCGCTCCCTCTCCTCCGGTACCCCCCCCGGTTCCCGCTCCGTCAGGTGTGTCGCAGGCTACCCCCCCTCCCTCGGTCCCCCCCCAGGTCTCTCCTCCTTCCCCACAGTCGTCCTCACAGCCTCCGCAGCAGCCGTCGGCGCTTCCTCTCCCGGCCACTGCGGACTCTGAGGGTGTTGGTGCTCGAGGTGAGGGCTTTGGCGGTGCCGGTTCTGGGGGTGTTGGAGTTGGCGTTGAGCGTGCACCTGCCGCAGCTGCACGTCCCGAGCGTGTTGGAGTCGGTGGTGGTGCTGGAGCTGGTGGTGTTTCTGGAGCTGGAGAGTCTGGGGCTGGTGCTGGTGCCACTGGCGGCGCCACGACTGGGGGTGCGGGTACACCTCCTACAGGTACTGGTCGTGCTGCCGCAGGGGGTCCTCGCTCTGGGGGTGCTCAGCCGGGTCCTGTCGAGGGTGGAGCCGGTTCTTCTTCGTCGTCTCCTGACACCACTCCTCCTCCTCACCCCTACCCGACTCGTCACCAGGCCCTTCGTCTTCTAGAGCGTGAGGAGCAGCAGCGTTTGGAGCGTGAGAGGTCGGAGGTTCAGCAGCGGGTGGAGCGTGAGCGGTTGGAGTTTCAGCAGCAGCAGCAGCAGCAGCAGCAGCCGCAGCCACAGCCACAGCAGCAGCAGCAGCAGCAGCAGCAGCAGCAGCCGCCGCAGCTGCCGGAGCAGCCTCCGGCCCCTGTTTCTGGCCTTCGGGCCCTTGGTCTCCCCTCCTCTCCTCCTGTGTTCGGTCCCACGTTTCCTCCTCCGGACTCCACTCCGGCTGTCTTCCCTCGTTCTCAGTCTCCTCCGTCCCCCCCTCCTCTCGCCCACACTTGGGCCTCTCGCCCTCCTCGTGCTCGTCCCTCGTCCCCTGTCACTGACCTCCGTACCGTGTTGTTTCATCCTCGTCCTCCTCGTTCTCCTCCGTCTGTCCTTCCTCGTCCTCCTGAGTCTTCCCTCACTGCCTCCCTGTCCACTCCGGTCACTGACTACTACCGCACGTACCGCCCCACTCTCTCTCGTGTTCTCGCCTCTCTTGTTACAGACCCTCGTGCCTCTCCTTCCTCCGTCGCGGTCC